TTTCAAAAAGTTATAACACTTTAAAGTTTTTACTAATAAACATTGAATGCGTTTTACTGTCCGGTACTGTAGTAAATCATCCAGGTTTTCACCCTCACGCACTCATATTACATCCGTTCCTAGAACAAAAAAAATAAGTTCTAGATTGGTTTGAAATTATATATATTGTACTTTTTCTCATATGAGTATTTGCTAGGAAAATCGCTGTTTGAAGTGTTTGAAGCAAATGAAAAGTGATTTTCCTAACAAATTACTATGCTTCGATAATTATAGATCAAATTTGTTTGCCTTCATTATCTCGATGTAAAATTGTATATATTCGTAAAAATTGTAGATCCCTCATTATCTTACGGTGTAAAAATTGTTCATAGAATGGATTGAAGAATAGATGCTTTTGAAATGCGAAGCATTTTAAAAGCCGTGTTGATTTATAAAGCATGTAGCCAATGTTAAAGATTTTATTCAAAGACTTCATTACTTTATAAAGGTAAGCTTTGTTGAATTGGAAACTTGAGTGAAAATCGATAAGGGATGTATCATTTATGGTCTGGGGCCGGTATATCTCTCCCTTTAAAAGGATTGAATCTCTTGTTCTTATCTTATTTTAATTTTTTTTTTAGAACTGCAATGATACATTGACCTCTACGTTAGCGCAGTTTAGGCAACAAAATAAAATTTTTACATTTTGGCTAACAATGTACCAACCTTTATTTAATAAAAAAAAGTAGTAATATAAGCTTTAATAAATTATAAACAATTTTTTTTAGAACTTTGCATAGATAGTAAATGTTATAAAATATTACAAAAAACAGATTATTACATTTTGTGCCAGACGTCTGAACATGTTAATCAAAGCATATATACCTAGTTGAAGCTTTTACCCAATCATAATAATAATTTCGGTAAATATTTCGATAAATATTTCGCGTACCAGAAACCATGTTCTTCACTACATTCTGACCAAAAATATAATTTTACATTATTTTTTATTTCTTATTTATTTGTTTTATTATCGTATTTTTTAGCTTAATAAATAAAATAGAAAGTTCCAGATTGTTTTTTGTATAATGTAAGAATTTTAAAAATCCTAATTGACTCAACACTAAAGCTGTGTCTTGTTTTGTGTATGTAAGCACATGCTAACTCATTATAATTATCTCAATTGTATTGAGATTTGTATAATTTTCGCCTATTTTCCTAGCTTGATTTACAGAGAAATAATTGGGTATATCTTTTTCAGAAAAAAGAAATACACATTAACAGATTTAACACAATCGAAAAGAGTGCTTCGATTAAAATTTGGGATTTTTAATTAAACATTATATAATATATTCATCTGTTTTTCTTGGTTTCTTAAATATATAATCGAGACCTAAATTATCGATTGATTAAATTGATGTTATAAAAGTCAACTAACCGGTTTATCAATAAACAATGATCTAGCGATGATCTTTGATCAATTAATCGATCAAAAATTCAAAATATATGATAAGTTCTGTTTACACATAAGTTGTTTTAAGATTCACTGTGGATTCGGAATTTACAGAATTCCGGATCTACCTACAATTTATATTTTATGTTTACAGCTGCTTTTATAAATTCTAGAACAACTGAAAAATTGCTGGTGACCTGATTGAATCAATAAGTTTCTGAGTTCAATCGAAGGTAGTACAGTAAGGGCGCTTTCAAGCAAAAAAGTCGGTCCTTCCCCTGAGGGGATATCCATTGTCTGACCATTGTTGGTAGTGCATCTCATGGATTACTCATGAGTGTTTCATGGTTCGTCTAATGCTGCCCAAAAAACAATTAGAACAATTATAATATGCAGGGGCAAATATATATATATCGATACCAGAATTGTAAATAATTACTTCTAAAAAAAACAAAAAAGAAGTGTCCCGAAACTGGGTTTAGATTGGTAACTTATCGATTCGGTCATCATGAAATGAAACCAGCTGTAAAGTTCTATAAGTAAATATGTAACAATTAAGCCGATTTTCCAAAAAATCGAGAACCCTAGTCATAACATCATTTGTCACTCATGCAACGTAAACTTGTGGTAAAAATAACACTTTATAATCAAGTCAAGTCAAATTGTTTCTTATTGAAGTTACACACCCCTACAATAAATTACCGGAATTTGTGTCACAGAATAATAAAGCATAGATTAGTCTAGAATTTTATCATTACAATCGACTATCGATATGTTATAGATGTATACAATGGGTATATGATATAATAAGTTTTAAATTTAAAAATTTAATAGTAAAAAATTGTGTAATAATAGACCAAAAATTCCATTATATCGATAGTCGATGTTATTTGCTTCTCAATTAGTTTTCAATTGTTTATATAAGCGCATGCAGCAGCTATATATATTATATAGACAATTATCGATATAATGGATTTTGATATATTAATAAAAATTTTTGAAAAATCCATTATATAGATTTTTACTAATATACGTACAGCAGATTTATAATAAATTTTTAATTTTAAAATCTGTTATATTTTTTATACATGTCCATCATATTGTAATAAAAAAAATTCTAGACTAATTTATGCTTTATTGTACTGCGTCATACACATTCCGGTAATTTATTGTAAAGGTGTGTATACAATTAACATCGACAGTAACTCTAGACCCTCTAGACTAATAAGCCATTCTGTTAACTCTAGACTACAGACTATTCTTTTTTTTTTTTTTACAATAACCTAGTGGTGTGACATCTAAATCACGCCGGATCACGCCGGCATGGAATGGTTTTTACTCCTAACTTACTCCAGAATATAATCCAGAATATAATATTCCATTAACTGCCCTAATACAACTAGACCTCTCTAAGCGCGCCCTCTATATAGCACACACTCTCTAAATGCACGCTAAAATTCTGGCCCAAATATATATTTGTCCTCTATAAATGCACCTTTTCTTATTATTCTCTAAATGGGTGTGGCCCCAAGGGCATGCACTTAGTGAGGCAATGACTGTACCTGCACAATCTTTTAAATTCTCGTGGAAAAGTGATTGAACTAAAGTGATAAGAGGCAATAAAATTGTTCGATATTGTCACTGTATAACTATATATTTATTAATAATATTAACGCAGCCATTAAAATATACAAAAATCAATTCCTTCATATATGAATAAAATAATGCGCTCTTTTACTCTTTTTTCAAACAGAAATATTTCAAGCATTGTTCATATAATCAAATAGACTCTAAATTTATTTTATGACAGTCTTGCACTCATATATCCATTCCGAAACATTATTAATAGCGTCCTTCATTTTTTGTAATTTATTTTCAAGCCATTCAATGTTTGCCTCTTCATGTTGTACTGTATTTTCAGTCGTTGATAACGATTCCAGGGCAAACTTAACATTATCATAATGTTTAAACCTAAAATAAAATAAATAATCAAAATGTTGAAGGTAAAAAGAACGCATTGTTATGCTAAACTGATGCTAACAGACCTTAAATCATCCTCTAGGTCTATACAAGACTCTAGTGTTTTTTCACCAGAAGTATTGGACCGGATTATTTTTTTTAATTTATTTTGGATTGTATCCATTTCATTTTGCATTTTCTCAAGCTTCACGATTAAATTAACTGCATCACCTTTCAAGAGCATAATATACTTGCGCACCACCCTTTTTCCTTTTAGTTTCGTAGCAGCTTCCCAGTGTGATACATTGTTGCAAAAATTAGATATATCATTGTAAACCTTATCTAGAGTTGTATCTCGAACATACTTGCGGGACTTTTGCTTTCGAATGAGTACTGAGCGAAACCAATATTGTATAATTTTGGCATTTTTATCAGCATGAGGGGAATCGGTAATTTTTTGGAACCAAGTTTGAATTTCTTCAGCTGACTCCGGGTTATCTTCAGAGATTTCATTCTGTTCATCATCGCAACTAAAAATAGCATATTCAGCAGCCTTTCTTTCGCTAGCTACTGGAGATACGATTTTCCAAATGGAAGACCTGAATTCTTCACTAGAATTATATTTGAGTATCTTAGCTCCATCCTTTGCTAGTTCAGCAAATCTAGATATGCCTTCTCCGCGGTAGTAGATGACGACTAAGGAATCGCAGCCTGTCTCACTAAGATCGTTAATTAGAGTTTTTACAAGCTGTCCCATACTACAATCTTTCAGATATCTCTTGATCTTTTCAGAATGGGCAAAATTGAGACTCAAGCTTTTAAAAAGATTTATAACCTTCGATACGAAAGTGCATTCGTAAATGGATGTATTACATCCAATAAGGATTAGTAATCGTAATAGCCGAAGGATAATCGGTGAATGATAATTTTTAGTGAAATCCAACTTGCAGAGAAGCTGATGAGATAAATCAAAAAAATCTCCAATTGCACTTTTATAGTCCTCTATGTTATATTCATTGCGGATATTGTCATTTGGAAGGAGTGGCTTTACATCAAATCCACAAAAGTAATTGACCAAATAACTTTGAGGAAGACAAAAATTGCAAAGTTTAGGACTAGCCACAAAAACCAGTGAAATCGTGAACTCAATAAGGGATGTAAGATCACCAAGTGAATCTGATGCATCCATTAGGCAAACATCATGAATGTGGCCTATGGCATAGCGAATAAATACTGTCGCATGATTAATTGCATCTATCACCTTATTGAAATTAAGACAGTAGAAAAACGAATAAAGACGTTTTCCTACTGAAACATAGCAACGACGTTTTTGATCGTATTCAAAGCCAATTAATGGGGGCTTTTTCACCTCAAAATAACGTTTATTCACTACCCATCTGAATTTATTGAAACCCCATTTATGTCGTAACTGTTGTAATACGAACATGCATTTTAGCATGACCCCAAAGTCCTTGCCATTCTTGAATCCATCTTTAAGCCATACTTTATGAACTAGGTTAAATAAATCATTACGCATGTCATTAAGATGATTGCGGATCACTATATAAGAGATCTCAGCACAACTTGTCTGTGGAGACTGATAACGGAAAAGATGCTCAACTAACTTTTCAGCCCAATATCTGTGTCGACCAAGGACAATTATACTTTGGTTATCTTTAAGTATATAGCATCTTTGGTTACCTTTAAATATACGACAACGATACAATACGAGCATCTTTCCCATCACGGCGTATTGAAGAGATATAAGTTGCAGATGATTGTACAAAATTGTTGGTGTTGGCTTAATGTGATGGGTTTTGCTTTTGTGATATCTATCTAATGCAAAGCATTTACCCGAGGAAGCAAATTCATAACAAATTCTAGAATCTATGTCCGGAATCGTACATCCCGTATGATCTGCATTTTGAAGAAGCTCAAAAATATAGAAGACAAGGAATTTTGATATTACTAGATGAACTTCGTTCACATTGTAAACATGATCGTCTATTACTTCTGCTGTATTTCCTTCACTATTTTTGTGATGCACTTCATTAATGAGATCAAGAAGGGGACTATCAGTGGGAATTTTCCGTTTCGATGGGCGATTATCTACCTCGCTTATAAGGAAAAAGACCTCGAAATCATTATGGATTTTCTCAATGTTGATGACATTTTTACGTGGTGCTATAAAAGGAAAAGCCAATTCGCATAGTCTTAAAAGATATTGTAATCGTTCGCGCCAGTAATCGACTTGAATTTTCGAATTCGGTATCTGAAGCCATATGTTCACTGCGCGAAACTCGGCAACTGGCGCTTCATATTTTTGAAAAAATTGTACACACTTATAGATTCTATCGAGGTCATTATCTAAATATGCTGAATATAATTTGATTTCTTCTATAAGGATCCTAAATTCCTTCTTAAATTCCTTAGATTCTTTTAACATCTTGGATGATTTTGCGTTTACTATTTCACTTGCTTTGCGAAGGAATCTGCATAGTTCTCCTGAAGTATCCAAGTTCATACATTTCATATTTTTAAGAATTCTCATTCTGCATGGATATAAAATGCAATTTAATGACTTAATAATGTCCCTGTTATTAGCAGAGAGACTGAACATATTGGCAGCTTCTTCAAAATTTCCGCGCGAATGTAAGAATTCACCGGCATCATGAAACTTTTTTTTTTCCACATAGAATTCCAAGAGTTCTTCTGGGGCATGATCTGCTAGAAATTCCATTTGTTCTTCCTGTGTTGGGATAAGATGAAAAGCCTTTTCGCACATTTCCTTATTATTTTCACGACGATAGTGGATGTTGACAAAACGACAAATACGGCGAAATATCTTAACATTAATTTTTTCCCTATAACTTAATGTTTGAAACGGTTTAAATGTCAGTTATATTTACTTTTAATTGATAATAAATAGTATTTGCATAAAACATAATTATTTAAATATATGACCATTTTCAAAACTTTGAGACCAAGGGTACAAAGTATTTATGCAGCATTCCTAATTTAATCTTATCAATGACTGATTTAAAAGATTTACCTTTGCATCAAGTCAACTACAATTTCATAATATTCACCATTTTTATAAGCAATAATTGCTTCTGTATATTTGTTTGCCTTTTTATAACATTCACCAGCCTTCTCCCATTTCTCGCATTTGAAGTAACAATCTGCAGCAGACTCAAAAATATTCGATTCATAATAAATATCACCTGCCTCTTTGTACATTCCAATATCC